CTTATTAAAAAATTCTAGTGATTGTAGCAAATTTGATCAGAAACTGAATTCTAGCTGGTGGAATTAGGTTGCAAAATGGCTGTGCACCGTTTGCTACTTTTGAATTCTTTTGTCAAGACACTGCGCTGGGTGAAGGTTCATTACGATGCCCAGGTAGTGCTGGCCTTGCCTCTGAAGGTGGAYGAAGCACGTTGTGGCATAAAGGCACGTTGTGGAGTCTCCCAAATCCTTTTTACAGCTTGAACCACTGTGCTGAAGCAGTGGCTTCATGACTAGGTTCCTCCCTCTAGGCTTGGAGAGCTACTCTGGAGAATAAGGACCATATCAGAGCTGTTATGCATGGTGAAGAAGCACATTCTCCTGTGTGACTGAATAATAAAGGCACTTTGGGAAAYTGCTATAATATACCAGAGCCTTACCAATAGATGTTCACCCTTGGCAAAACTCTCAGACAAAAATTTTGAGGTTAACTTGCAATTTTTACATTTAATGTGTATTTAAAATGATGGGTTGATTCTTTTAATCTAAAAAAAAAAAAAAAAAGGAGAAAAAAGAAGTAATTTGTATGTATTGTCGCAGAGAATGTGACACAGGAAACATCAACACTTCCTTTGTAGCTGCTGTGTACAAGGCAGATTGCAACCTAGCAAGTGCAATGGGATCAGAGAAGTCCATGGAATGAGCCATAGGTAAGGTCAGCATCTCGTTTGTATTTCCAGGCAAATCAGTAACCCAGATGTTTTCATTTGAGCTATTTGACAGCTGAGGAGAGATTGGATTTGATTTAAGCTCTTAATTACATTATTTTTTATTCAACTGAGTATTCAGAAAGCACATTTTTCTTTATAAGCTTTGGCCTTTATTGTGGTGCATGAATCATATCTTTGATTTTTAATCCTTTTTAAGAATTTCTTTACGAGTAGGTTGGGGAAGGAGTTCAGCTGAAGCACAGCAGTATCATAGAGTAATTAGAGAGGGAGAGGTGGAATGAAAGAGGAAGTAGAGGTGATAAACCCAAAGCCATGACTGGTTTAATTGCAGACAAGCTAACACATGCTCCCTTAGATCTCACATTACTGCATGAGTTGATAATAACACTGTTGTAGGAACTTTACATAATGTCTGTAACTCCACTGAGGTATGTGAACATACTCTTCAAAGTCTTCTTCAAAGTGGATTGGAGTATTCCAGTGCTGTAAGCTAAGCATGGGAAAGTTAAGTACCTCAGACTGACTCCAAAATTTAGCCATGAAATTGTCTATGAAGATACTCCTCTCACTATCCAGACTCCTTCTACAGAAAATGGAAATAGAGGCAACTCCTGAGGATTTACCATGCTCCCTCTCACAGATGTCTGTTTCAGCACTGGAAAAATCACTGCTGGAATTGCCTCTTTTCCTCACTGACTGTAGCAGAAACCTAGATAGGTGCTCTTCTCTCTGATACTATTAGTAGAGGAGATTCATTACATCCCCCTGTTCTAATGCAGATGTGGGAACTGAATTCAATTCATACAAATTCAGTCAATTATATGTTGGTCATTTACACCTGAGCTTCTTACCTTACACCTGTACTTTTCACAAGAAACAGASTGTTGTAGTAATAAGTGATGCTAAAAGTTAGAATTTGTTTGCTGGAGATGCAAATGGTATGGATTAGACATTGCTCCTGTCTTCATAGGGGTGGCCTACTGTAGAAATCAGAAGTGTCCAAGACTGAGTTTGTTGCTTTGATGCTGGTTGCAACTGACTTGATTGTGTAGAGCAGGAAAAACTGCACAGTAATTTCCTGTGTAGGCCAGRTATGGCCAGATCTCTAGTGATGGCCCTGGGGAGAGCAGAGGGATTCTCTGGGCAGAGTTGGGGGATATTAACTCACTGACAAAGAACAGCATTAGACAAAGCCATGGAAAGCTTGAAAAAGTATTTGACACCTGAGTTGAAAATATAGATGCTGAAAAAGAGGACTAGCTGCTGCTCAAAACGAGTCTAGCTTCCCGCAATTCTTACAAAATTTTAATCAAATTATAAAATTCAGAACTGCCCCCTCTTGAAAGTGACACGGGAAGGCAGAGAAGTAAATATATGAGCTCTGCTCAGTAATCAAGCAAGACATGCAGCTTTTTCACTTTCTGAGCACAGACCACAGGGAGCTCTTCCCCAGCCCCAGCCCTGGGAGGTGATCGGTGCACAGACCAGTGTGTCCCCACAGTGGATAAACTTCTGCACCCAGAAACAAAACTGACAAAGGAAAGYAGTGCTGTGGAAACAAAAGCCAGGGAGACACCCATTCAAACAGCAATGCAACTGGAAATAAAGGTTTCCACTAGGTCAATATTGACCATTAGGCATTAATACTCAGATGGAAATAAATTGCTGAAGATCTCTGAGTATGTTAGCTCACCATACAGTCAGTCATACAGATAGTCAGCAAAATAACTTGATTCAATTGCGACTATTGTTAGAAAACATGTACCCATATTCCTCTGTCTAAGAACCTACATTTTCAAAACCTACTTTACAGCTTTTTTTTTTTTTTTTTTTTTTTTTTTTTACTTTTGACCTCTGTAGATTTGGGTGTACAACGAGCACCTTGCATCCCAAACCTTTCATAAATGTTCTTTGTAGCTACTGTAGCAGGCTTTAAAAAATAAATGTCTAATAATCAGTACCAGCATTCCTAGCCATTTGTAGTTATGTTCTTTCAAAATTACATTGTTCAGAAATACCATCTTTAATTGAAATGAACTAATAACCTGAAGTGCATTCATTTTCTGGCTCTCTCTAATCTGTTTATGTTCATAAAAACAAAATGGAATCTTTCTCTGTATATTTCAGTTCATTCACATTACTGGAAATCGACACTAGAAAATATTCTCTCAGATGGCTGTATTTAAAAAAACACTGAAATAATCATATTACTATGCCATAGTGATAAACATACAATAAGCACCCATAGAAATAGCTTTGAATTAAAGCTATTGATACTTCGATATGTAATTCTTTGCTTTTTGTATTATTCTCTTTGAGATTTACTGAAGATGTTCAGTTAGCTAGTGCTTCTATCAATAATATATAACCGGTGAACTGGACTATAATTTGAGCTATTTTAGCTGCATTGTTTTAGCAATCTTCCTATCACTTCCACTTTATTATTGTAGCAATTATAACACCATATTTGTTTAAATGTTGTGATTTTCTTCACCAGAGACAATGATCTTGCACTGGAAGATTGTGCTTTGTAGTATGATGCCTCTCAACCCCCAACTTCAAAGTACAAGTTAAGACAGTGCTGGCCAACATGAAAAATATTATAGCTGTATAGCCTCAGTAAAGGGGAGAGCTTGACAAAACAGCCATTAAATGAGAGACTAATGAGCACAATGTTTGCAGTCTGTTAAAGAAATGAAAAACATTTACGCTAGATACCTGTGGGATCATAYGGAGAAACATCTGCATTTGGGAAGATGTCTAGATGCAGTCTTTAAATATAAAGTTTATATGTATGTATTTATGTACATACCTGTGTAAATATACATATATTTACATAAAAATACAGACAAATGTATATGTACACACATACACAGAGAGAGACTAGATGTGCTGAAGAGTGTTTATAACTCATAGCTGAATGCATTCTTATCTCGTAAATAAAGCAATTCTGCAAAACGAAAGAAAACAAAACGATCTACTGCATTGCTAATAGACTCCCATATAAAATGATGAGTGTGCAGACTACAGTATGTAGGGAACCTGTCACACACATGTGCTGTGTCTCTGGAGCTCACGTTCAGACTGCTGGAGCTCACATTCCTATGCCATCATGCCTCAAGCAGAGCACTATCCTGCTCCTGTCTCAAGGCCAAATTCAGTTGATTAAAGAGCCAAGATCCTAGAAGRAGCTTGGAAACAGACTCTTGAGCAACCATATAGAGACTGGGCAAGTACACTGCCATGGTAGATGGGCCAGGACAGTTGATGGCCTAGGATCTCAGCAACCCCATAGAGTGGACAGAGATCCTGGGGCCAATTGAGCCATGATAAGCGCAAGAGGTAGATCTTGAAAAAAGCATCTAACAAACAGAGCAATTCTGAAAATAGCAAGATTATGATGATTAAGAAGATAATAGTGAGCTTGAACAATAATTTATGAAAGAGACATAGAAATTTCTTCCTTTTTTTTTTTTTCTTTTGGAATTTTCCTTAAATATATATGTGAATTGTAAGTTATTTATAGTGCACTTTCTTGGAAGACTAGRGCTGTTCTGATATTCCCATTCTGTACATCAAGTTAAAATAAGTTTTTTTTTTTTTTCTTGGATCCTAAAATATGATTTTGCAAAAGGCTGAACTTCTGAAAAGAAAAATAGCA